TAGAGTGTCGGCCTGCAGACTGAAGGGTCCCAGGTTCAATTCCAGTCAAGGGCATGTACCTCGGTTGCTGGCACATCCCCAGTAGGGGGTGTGCAGGAGCTAGCTGATGGATGTTTCTCTCTCATTGATGTTTCTAACTCTCTCCCTCTCCCTTCCTCTCTGTAAGAAATAAATAAAAATATATTTGGAGGGAAAAAAGATAATTGAGCCCTGGCCGTTTTGGCACAGTGGATGGAACATCAGCCTGCATATTGAAGGGTCCTGGGTTTGATTCCCGTCAGAGCACATGCCTGGGTTGTGGGCTCAGATCCCCAGTAGGGGGCATGCAGGAGCCAGCTGATCAAATGATGTTTCTATCTGTCTCTCTCTCCCTCCCTGAAATCAATAAAAAATAGATATATTTATAGATATAATTGACATATAACATTAATGTTGATCTGATATAATTATAAATTGTAAAATACTGGTAATTGCCACCACAGTATTAGCTCCCACCACCATCCAGTCACATAGTTACCATTTCTTTTTTTGTAGTGAGAACATTTAAGACCTACTTTGTTAGTGATATTTAAGTATATGATACAGTATTATTAGCTGTGGTCACCATGCTTTACATGAGATCCCCAACTTGTTAATTTTATAAATCACTAGAGGCCCGTTGCATGATTCGTGCAATAGGCCTTCCTTCCCCTGGCTGCTAGCACCGGTTTTCCTCTGGCACCGCCCTCCCCCCTCCCCCTAACCCCCCCAGGCCTTCCCTCTGGCTGCCTCCTTCCATCTTTGCTCTGGCCAGAGCCTTCAGTGTTCACTCCAGCTGGAGCACTGCTCCTGTAGCTCCCTCTGTCCTCGCCCTCATAGCAGGCCTCCTGCCCCACCTGGCTGCTCCGCGCCTGCATGTGTGCTGCCCAGAGGCCCGGAGCAGCTGGGGGTGGGGCCACCTCCATCTTTGTCAGGCTAATTCGTGTACTCCTGATTGGCTGGCATGTTTCTCTTTTATTAATGTAGATGTTTATACCCTTTGTCCAATATCTCTTTCCTCCTACCCCCCAACTCTGGTAATCACCCCTCTACTATCTGTTTCTCTAGTTTCTGTCTTAGATTCACATATAAAAATATTTTTTAAAAATATTTATTACAGAGAGGAAGGGAGCAAGATAGAGAGATAGAAACATTGATGATGAGAGAGAATCATTATTCGGCTGCCTCCTGCACACACCCTACTGGGGATCGAGTCTACAACCTGGGCGTGTGCCCTGACCAGGAAATCAAACCATGGCCTCTTGGTTCATAAGTTGAGACTCAACCACTGAGCTCTAAGGCTGGGAAAAACATTTTGCTTTTTAAAAGCAATTGGCAATCTGCAGCTAGATGAGGTTTGGGGATATGCATGGCTATAGTAAATGGGAGAGACCGGAAGCTTTTCTGGCCACTTCTTGGCTTTGCAGAAAGGCTCCAGAAAATTAGCAGCCAGCAAAATGTTCACTACTCATTCCCCTGATTGCCAAAAACTCACAGTCTGGGAGCTGAGAGCAATGAACATCAGTGGAAGGAAGAGAATACTTATGCTTTTTATTCACATTTTTAATTGATTTTGAAATTCTTGCCTGGCCCTTTGCCTTCTGCATAGTCCAGAGTCATGAATCTTTGATACGTGGCTCAAAAGAGAAGCACAGGACAGTGTATTCCCTTTCCCTCCACCAATTTCCTGCCCGTGTTTCTATTCAGGGACCTGGGTACACACCATCCAGTTCAGAGGTGGAGCAAGCTCTGCTCGCTTAGTGCCCCTTTGTTCTGCCTGGCTCCACCGAGAGCACGTGTAGGAGGGGCCACACTTGATGTGAAGCTTTGGGGGCTTCCCACTGGGTGGTGATAAGGATTCTTTTGCCACTAATTGCACCCATATGTTTTTAAAAAGGTGAAAAAGAATCCCTGAACTTAGGTGTCCATTTATACATTAATTATGTTGATCTCATTTGCAGCAGTGTGGTCTTAATAGCTGTATTGCTGCAATGCCCAAATCTGTGATATCAGAATGTGACGTGCATATTTTAATTTGAGAAATAGTTTAACATTTTTAGGTATTCATTTAGATGGTGGTTATGCAGGTTAAACATAAGGTATGATCACTGCTTCTTTCATTGCTTCCAATTAAACCTTGCTTGTTAGTTTAACCTCTAGGTAATCCCATCAAACAATTGATGTCAAGGAAACACTGCCCACAGTAGCTTCGGATGAGTGGCCATTAATTTTAATTGCCTTGATATTAAAGATTAAGAAGTATTGGGACTAGCAGAATAGAAACGATCTGATGTCAAGCAAACCCACTTGCTAAAGCTTCCCCAGGCTGCTGGTGATATTAAAATTTTACTGTGAGAATTAAATAAACCTTTATTAGTGATGACTGTTGTTTGATTGGTCCAGGGGTATGCATAAACACAGGATTCTTACATATCTAGAGATGAGACCTTCGATGGTACAGAGATTCCTCAATTATGAAACTGTTAATAAAGCTGTAATCTGATTTCCAGACCAGGTTTCATTAATGTATTATAGCTTCTCTGATTGTCAAGGTAATATTAACTACAAAGCACAGAATCCAACAGAGAATTGTTTAGAAGAGGAGAATTCTAAGATGGGCCTTTGTTGCTAAATTCAGAGTTGGGGAATTTTCATTAATTATGCTTAATAAATGCCAAATTCCCTCCCACCCAGGAGTATCTCCCTTTGCACTGTAGATATAGTCAATATTTAACTCTTTCAAAGGCTTGACAGTCTTATTCAAACAAGCTAGAGTAGTAGCATATGTTGAACATTTGTATGGAAATGTCTTAGAAATTTAGAACTGATATCCATAAAAGTTAGACATAGAGATGGAAATCTGGGAGTCATTCATAATGAGATGATAATTGAAATTGAAATAGTTGCTAAGGATAAGCTTGCTCAAGGAGAAAGAGGGAAGAGGGGCAAGATCTAAGTTGGAGAAAACACACACACACACACACACACACACACACACACACACTGGTGTCAGGAAAGGAGAAGCAGGAGCATAATTTCATAGAAACCACGCCCCCCCAAAAGTGAGAAATGGTAATTACAAATATCTGACACTGATGAAAGGTAAACAAGTTGAGGCGAGAAAAAAAGGCCATTGGATTTGGGACAGGTGTTAAGCCTATTGTAACCACCTCCATCAACTACCTAGGCCTTGAGATTGTTAAGATTAAATGAGCTCAGCCTGCGTGGCTCAGTGGTTGAGCAGCGCTGACCTATAAGAACCAAGACTTCACGATTGGATTTCTGGTCAAGGCACATGCCCAGGTTTTGGGCTCAACCCCCAGTGTGGGGTGTGCAGGAGTCAGCTGATCAATGACACTCATCATTGATGTTTCTATCTCTTCTTTCCCCTCCCTCTCTGAAATAAATTTTATATATATATATATATATACATATATATATATTAATATGTATATGTATATATTATATATTCTTTTTTAAAAGATTAAATAAGAAAATGTGTGCAAAGGACGCTGCATAATGCTGGGCAGGCATATAGGAGATAGTCATTAGATGACAGCTATGATAAGCACTGCTATTTGATATGAAGGAAGAAAGGGATACATACAGTCCTGCAGGGGAAGGAAATGGTGGTGGGACAGAAATAGCTAGGAAGTCCTATCTTTAGCGTTTTTTCTTCCCGACAAGTTTTGGCGTGTTCCTGACTGATGAACCTGTGCTCATGGGAGCTGCTCGGCTCTTCAGCGAGTGCGCCTACATGTGTGTGCACACAGTGGTGCCCCAGGAGGGAACAGCATGCGGGCAGCGGCAAGGCCAGCATTGTCTTCCTGTGTGGCTCCCTGGCCGGGGTTCTCTGGCTTCTGTTAGCAGGATGAGCGCCATGGGCTGAAGAATGAGAGTTCGTTTCCCAAGCAATTAAAGACTTGGCAAAGATGGTGAACAAGCCTGCCCCTCGGCATAAATTGGATTGGAGGGCTCATACCACTCCTTTTTCCTCAGGGCCCTGAAGAGCTATTCAGGATAAAACAGTGACTCACCAGCCTGGTACCATAGCAACATTCCCCTTTGACATATTAATAGATTATTGAAAAGTATTTTTTTTAAAAAACTGTTACTTTAACAAGAGAGGTCAGAGCCTTTTATATAGCAGTGGGTACCTTCTTACAAATTGCTGTGTGGGTTTTAGCTTCTTTATATAGCTCAGCTATAAGAGCTTGAACACATAATGTAACAGCCATAACTTGGGCTGAAGTTTTGCTGTCAGTGAGATGTGCTGAAATCTGCTGTTGACAAGATCCTCTTCAGAATTCTTTCCCGTGTGCCCTGGAATGAAGTATTATAAGTAGTTTGCAAAAGAAATAAAGATAGTCCACTGGATGGAATCGGAGCTATTCCTGTGTATTTGCATTGGACTTGACTGCAGTTATTTGAGTGTTCTCCCGTGTGACTGGCAGAGCTTGAGCAGTTCTGTTGGCAGGCAGGCATATCTTCTAAGGCAGGAGACAAAGGGATTTTTCATCCATTACTAATTGATGTTACTCTTTTTATCAGACCAAACATGATTCTACTGTACAGCTGCCAAAATTGTCCCAGACCCAGAAAGAATAGTCATTCTTTCTCAAGTATTTTTCATTTTTTACCTAACTTAACAAATACTTCCTTTAGCTTTCAGCTACTTTTAGGGGGGACTGATCACTTACACACTAATAGGTATATACCAATTGCATATTCTTTTATGAACAAACTGTGCTTGCAGCCATTTTAGTGTTGTTGTGGCTAACTCCAAAAAGCAGTATCATTCCAAGAGTGTGGAGAGATTTGCAAAAGAGAAAGTGAACCCCCAAAACCATCATGCATTATCCACAGAGTGATTTCACGCTCAGAACTGAGTGTCTCCCAAGAGATCTGCTCGGTGTCCAACAGTTACTGGAAGTTTAACCCCCCCCCCCCCTTCTCCTCACTCACATCCCTGTGATTTGTAGGTATCCAACTGGTTTGGCAACAAACGAATCAGGTACAAGAAGAATATTGGCAAGTTTCAGGAAGAAGCCAACCTCTACGCTGCAAAGACCGCCGTGA